AGGACCACCATGCAAGCTGCTTTGAGTTCCTTGCAAGAAGCAAACAATGACAGGATATAAATGCGATAATAAAATACAAAGAAAGGAGTAATTTCAGGAGTGTTACCTACTGCAGACTAAATTGATTCAGCTATGTGTTCTCATTAGTTGAAGACTGAAATAACTGAAATTCTAATCTAGAAGAACTCTCTCATGTTTTAAGAACTGCCAAAAATCCTGCAGCATCTTAAATAATACAATTGTAGCATAAACTAAGGTGGAACAGAGATAGGTGCTGCCAGATGTGACTAAGCGAGCCATAGACCATTGAATCTTACTGGCAAAATAGATGTGGAAGTCTTCAAAATGCCACAATGCTTGCTTTACCCTTCTAAGACAGTTGATGGAAGTCACTTTTAGCACAACAGAAGGACAGAAAGGGGTTGACTGAGGTTATCTGGGATCCTTCTAAGCCACGGGTGGGGAAATTCCCCAAGCCCTACACTCATCAGTGAAAAGACCACGAATGTCCAACAGTCCCGATGGCTACATGCAACCTCTGACACCAGAAGCGGTGTGCTTATGTACACCACTTACTAGGAAACAAGGGCTGAAGGGCACGATTATTCTGTCCTACTTGCAGGCGTCCCACAGCAACTGCCTGGCCATTGTGGGAACAAGATGCCACATTAGAGAGGTGGAGCTCCTGGGAGCATGGAAATCTTTTGGCAACCTGCAAAATTCAGGATGTACAGGCATCCTCCTTTTTGTCCACATCGACCATCAGCACAAAAAGCATGACACCTAATCTCCTTGCCTTTTTCAAGAACATGCTAACAAGGGCATGCTAGTCAGCTTAGATAACCAGAGGGATCTGAAAAGCCATCAGGCAATTTCCAGGCCAAGCCCTTGTCAAAGATCCAAGGCGTTTCTGAGGCAAAGGGGTTCCACAAAATCCCATCCCATACTGAAACAGGTGGGCCACCTGGCTTCCTGGCTCAGAAGCTCCAGTTCAGGGCTTGCAGCACTTCAGGAGAATTCAGGAATTACAATGGGATAAGCTGAATACAAATCAACAATATGTTGCTATGCTACAGAAGTCCAATTCCATTTTAGGTTGCGTTAACAGAAGACTGGATCCTAGATTCTGGAACAATGCAACTGCTCTTTTCGGAACTGGTAGCACATCTTCTGGAATACTATGTTCCCTTTGGGACCACACAGACAGAGAAAGACAGTGTTGGAAAAGTCACATGGTGGCAATGGGAAGGATAAACATTCCGAAAGACAATCTGAGAACTCTTTGAAGGAACTGAATGTGGTTAGTGCTAGATTAAAGGAAGATAAATAGCAGTCCCTACTCATCTTGTCAAATATGAGGGTAGACTTGAAATAATACTTGTTTCCCTTTAGGGTAGGGTAGGATGGTGCAATCCTACATTATTGGTGTGGGGGCACAGGAAAGGTCAGTCATAGTCTACAACTCACATCTTGCCTCATCCAGCATAGCTGGGGGTTGTGGGTCTTTTCTCTCTCTTTTCAGGACTGTACCATTAGATGGCTTAGATCAACCATCTAGCCCCTGCTACCCTCTGCAATCCTAGCCTCTGCGCTCCTCCTGCCCTCCACCGGAGGCCCACAACTCTCCAAGTTCAGATGGTTACAGGCAGCCACGTTGGATAGCACCTTGACTGACCTTGGGCTACTCAGCAGTTCTCAGCTGGTCTGCTTCACAGGTTTGTTACGTTGTGTGCTTGCCACCCTGAGTTTACTGGCGAAGAGAAGCATTGTACAAATGTAAGAAGTACAACTGAAGAAATTTGCCAAGGAATCTGAGCAGGTATCTTCCAAGGGAGGCAACAGTTCTACACTTTATGGCACAAGCGAAACAATGCATGCATACACCAGACTGGGGGCACTTAGGGGTCAGTGCAAAAGCCCCCACAAAGCCAAACCCAGTGCCAATTAGTTTAACTGCTAGGTTAGAGCCAGTCTACAAACCCAGCAATACTGATGATTGTAAGTAACATGGCAGAGTCATTTTGGGCTACAGCATCCTAGACTGTGGAGAGCATTCTTTCCCAGCTCAGTGATCTCCTGCACCTGTGCCCATAGCAATAGCGTGATATGCAGAAGTCGTAACATTCCTGATCGCCATGTCTCATTTTCTGAGAAGCAAACTGCTTTTAAAGTTCAGGAGCAAACTGAGCTAGGTTTCTCTAAAAAGAATAAAAAACAAGCAACTGCCGTATGTATGCACCAAACTAGCTCACAAGATGGAATGTGGTCTTCTAAGTGAATTCATTTTCTATGCATAGAGGCTTAAGAAAGTGTTCAAAACGCACTGAAGCAAACCAGCCAAAGTAGGAACTATTATGCAATTCCACTAAATACGTATTGATCATTCATTAAGCTCTTACAATGCTATGTTGGTGACTGAAAGTACAGCAGGAACAAGCGCCAGAGCAGCGAATGTATCACAACACAAGATTTCCAAGATTATAGTTCACTTCTTCATTAAAGGCTATCCCATAACAAATGTACCGGTCTTTAAGTTGCCACAAGATGCTTTGTTGTTTCTGCTGCAACAGATGGTGTGGCTTTCCCTCCGGAAAGGTCTAGAGCAGGCTTTCCCAACTTTGTGTCTTCCAGACACGTTTGGACTGTAGCACCCAGAATTCCTCGTCAATGGTCCTGCTGGATGGGAATTTTGGGTGTTGCAGTCCAAATGCCTCTGAAGGACACCACTTTGGCGAAGGCTGGTCTAGAGAAACAGGAATAAAACAGTGTAAAATATACTGTGTGCTAAAGGGCTCCAGGCACAGAGGGGAAGACATTCAGAGATGAGGGCGTAATATATGCACAGCTATTTTATCTAGTCATTTAAAGTGCAATCCTATGCATGCTGAGTCAGAAAAGAAGCCTACAACTCCCAGCATGCCCCAGCCAGGCTTTCCAGTTTCTACTAAAATCAGTGCTCAATGTGTCATTTTCTTGTGCACTTAGGTGACCAGCCTTCTGGGATATTTTTTCTAGACCTTAAACAAAGCATACCAACAAGGTCGCTAGTTCAAGGCACATCACTCCTGCTTTTGCTGATGTCCTTAAATCAAACCATTCTCTCTCAGCTTCAGAGCCCATCTATACTACAGGGTTATGAATGAGAAGCAACACAATCCCATGCATATTTATGCAGAAAAATGAGCTTACAATTCCCAGCGTGCTCCAGCCAGCTCTGCTGGCTGACACGTGGCCCAGCGTAGGCCTTTTTTTCTAAACACTTATAGGACTGCACCCTGAGTTGCTGGCAATGTATGAAAACAACGTATAGCGTTCTGAGCATTTGGGAGAATGTATTGTAGAAATATGATGTAGACGGATAGCATACAGCAAGAAGCATGAAGAGCTGGAAATGTGTGACTAGACATGGGTTTCCCACATATGCTTGCCATGTATGTCAAGGGCGCAACCAAGTCCATGCACAGAACATAGCATGAGAATAGGTCACAGAGTGGAAAGTTGAAGACACTAGGCTAAATGTGTTGGGACTAAAAGAAAGAATCACCTTCTGCTGCACTGTCCTGGGATGATGGGGGCTGTAGTCCAAGACACCTGGGGGTCTCCATGTTAGGTAACGCCACAGCATAGCATGTCAAACGCATGTTAATGGTAAATTTCTATTTAATATGGAATAAAAGGATACCCTTGAGGTGCTGCTGACTTGACAATCAAGTCTACTGGCAAACATTTCTTCCTGAATTCTGATATCCACAAGGGAAAAGGTGCCCCAGCCAGCACAATAAAACAAGACCTATCGCTGAAAGGCCAACATACTTATCCCCGATTTAAAATCTTCTCGGTGTATCTGGAAAGAGGGTGCATGACAGGGGCAACGCTTGCTTCCTCACCTTTTTTGTGCCCACAAGTAGAGGCAAAAGTCAAGCGGACCATCAGTGCCCAGCAATGATGTTTCCACGTTATTAACGCTTACACACTCAAGCACGCACATATTATACAAACAAGCCCCTCGTGTTTTAACGGAGGGGGAAGGGGAGAAAGAAAATAATCCCTCTGCCCAACATGGCCGCCCACCCAGTCCTGAGTTGCAGCTTAGAGGAGGGGGTTGCTTGAGGTACAGAAAACGCTGCTGCTTCCCCCAAAATCTAGGCAGGAGTCACGAAAGGGCCATTCTAATTTCGTGCGCCGTGCGAGGGCCGCGTCTCCTTCGCATCGCGGACGACAATCCCCGGAGGGGGGGAAAACGGGGGGGGGGGGGGGGGGGGGGGGGAACGGGCAGCGGGCGGAGGGAGCCGCAGGGCGCCGAGCCGCGTCACTCTTTTCCCCTCCTCCGTGTCCCGCCCCTCAGGACGAGCAGCAGCGGCCGAGTCCCGTATCCCTCCGCCGCGGTTCCTCTCACGGGAGGAAGGAGGGAAAGCGGCGACGAGGCCCCGGAGCGCCTGCCGGGCGCGAGGCCGCCGCCTAGCGAGAGGGGGAAGGCGTGCAGGCCGCGGAGGGAGGGCGAGAGGAGGAGAGCGCGCGCGGGCAGGCCCCGCCCCTTTCCTCCTCCTCTCCCTCCCCCTGGCTTCAGGCGCCCCCCAATCGGCGGCCTCCGTGCGCAGCTCGCGCCGCCCGCCGCCGTCGCCCTCCCCCTCCTCCTCGTCTCGGAGCGTCTCGCGCTCGCTTTGTGTGTGCGGCGCGCGCGCGCGGGCTCCCCTCTCGCTCCCCGCTTTCTCTCTCGCGCGCGCTCTGTCCCCTCGCTGAGGGGGGGGGCGAAAAGCAGAGGGGGTGAGAGGAGGAAGAGGAGGAGGAGGAAGGGGAAAAAGAAGACCCGGGCGGTTCGAACCGGTTCCCAACGGTCTCCAACCGCCACCTGCGTTCGACTGGCCGGCGCGCGCCGCCCCCAGGCGCACGCGCGGCCCCCACCTCGCTGGCTCGCTCGCGGCCCCCCCCCCCCCCCAAACCGACGGGCTGTCTCTGCTGCGTCCGCCTCTCCCCTACATAACGGAATGGCGCCAACTCACCTTTCAGTCTGGCCGCGGCCGCCGCTGCTGTGGCTACCTTCGCCGCCGCCGCCGCCGCCGCCGCCTCCTCAGCCTCCCAGGCTTGGCTCGTCCACCCTCTTAAAGTGACACACACCCCTTCCAGCACCTCGGGGAAGGCCGACGCGAGGGACGGGAGGCTCGCATGAGCTTCCCCTCCTCCCGCGCGCGCGCTCCTCGCAAGACTTAATTATTATTATTTTTTTTAAAGGGTTGCGGGTGGATATACACAGAAGCAACAACACACACAAAAAGGGGTCCTGGCTGGCGGAGGGATACGGTGACGTCATTTCCTTCGTCCCGCCACAGCGCCTCTGGATTGGTGGGCGGGCGTGACGTCACCCGCAGGCCGGCACACCCTAACCCAACCTGGGGAAGTTTGTCTGAGGCATGAATGATTTGGGGTGATTTATTCGGATTTTTAGGATTGTGTCCCTCCCAAGTTTTGGGGGGCGCCCTTGGGTGGGGTCGGTGGGCTTCCTGCAGCCTCGCCACCTGCGTGGTGGGAAGCAGCCTCTTCCCACAGAGGACACAAGCCATGGAACAACAGGTGGAAGGCTGGCTTGAGGTTGGCCATGCTGGTGGGGCACTGGAGCGTGTGCCTGGGGACCTGGCCAAGTGCCTTCCCAGTGATCTCAATTAACTCCCGCGCTTTTCCGTTTCCCACAGCCATGGGAGCCCTGAGCCTTCATGCAAGTCCAGCTCCACTTCCGCTCAAGACGCACGGCTGTTCAAGGAGACAGAAAAATGAAAGGCTATTCAAGGAGACAGAAAAATGGAAGAAGGCAGCGTCGCCAAGCTTTGGACAGGACCGCTGCTCAGATGAAGCCCATTGACAAGAACGATTTTGCCGTTTGAGCTTTGAGAAACAAGTTTCAATGTGCATTGGAAAAATACATTACACTGACACGCCCCCGAGGTTGCACTAACTTGTGAGCTCCATGGTTCTGAATATTTTGTTGGAGGTGGTACTTTTTTCACTAGATGCTTGATTGCCCAGGGGGCAAATACTCATTTAATAAATGCATTTCAGTCTTGCCTTTGTGCCCTATATAGGCCGCATAAATTTAATATTTCAAAACAGGATAACCACAACTATAGAAATAAAATAATGCTGGTTAAACCCATATTGCAAACACACATTGAGCAGCAGAAACTAAGTATTTGATTGCCAAAAGGTCTAGTGAAGAAACAACAACACCTTGTTCCTAAACTCCAAAAGAGAGCTAATTTCAAAGAGAAGAGCGCTCAAAGGGGATGAAAGCAAGAAAACCCTTGCTCCTTCCCGTCATGATCATACCAAAGCTGTACTTGAGTTTAAAGAAAGATTATCGGAATGTACAGAGGTCAGATTTCTCAGCAGCCGAGAACCTTAGCAAGATGAACACGGGGGTACAGAACCATTACAAATGGACAGAGGGCCTTAAATGCATTTTGGTGCAGAAAATCAAAATGCAGCCCTCCACTGTGATAAGAATATAGTTAAATGATTAACCATTTCTCCACCTTGACTGCTATCTCAAAACGACTTCTATGGAGTGTGTGTGTGTGTGGGGGGGAGCAATTTAGCACTTTATGGTAGGTCTGGTCATAGAAATCTAAAAGGCTATAAAAACTGTTTGTCTCCTGGGAGTCTTTCTCTGAATGATGCCTATAATTTTCACTTGTTGACAAGCCATTGCACATGGCTGTTGCTGTTGTTTGCGTTGAAGGAGCGCCCAGAAGCTCCATCCTAATTCATCAAGCTTCATAATACCTCCAGGCCTTTTGCTAATAGTTCATTACAACAGGAAATGGCCAGCAAAGTGCTCAATTCATCCCTGCTTCCTATATGTTAATGGTCTCTGGTGATGTTTTTGAACCTCACTGCTACAACCCGCTCCGATGGTAAGAAATGATAGACCAAAGGCCGTGTCTGTTACTCTCGGTTCAGGAAAGGTGTTTTAGGTTTCCAGCCTAAGAGGCCAGCACCGCAAAGCCAGCGTCCTAGGAGTGAGGGGAGAGCTTTTGACATGCCAGCAAAGGTGTTAGTGCAGACGGTTTTGATGGCGGTGTGGCAGCACCAAGATTTTGAATCATGACATGCAAGGCAATGCCAGCCAGCAGCAGAAAATCATAGTTCTTACATTGATCGCAACATTCATGACATGCTATGAGAGTAATTGAAATAATTGTAGCAACGTCCAGTCAAGATAAAAGTATGCCATCATAGCAAGCATACCTACAATTAATTGTATTTTTCCCTTATTTATAAGGTTTACTTTAGTAAAGGGACTTTCAAGTTGGGGTGCAGTTTTAATTATTGCTTAGCAATTCATTTGTACATTTTAATGATTAAGTAATTAGAGTAACCCACCTTGTCCTGAAGGCTTTGGCTGGCTAGAATATCAATGAGAAAGAAAAGAATTTCATGAAGTACAAAGACTGATATTTGCTTGCTTCAGAGGCAGCCTCTTCAAAATCAGTGGAACTTCAGAGTAAGGGGGCTCAGTCAGAAGCTTACAATAAAAATATTGAAAACATTGAAAAACATATACTGCATCAGATAAAAATCTCATTGGGAACAAGCAAAAAAAAATCAAAAACTTGGCAGAATGAAAACGCATCTAAGGGAGGGTCTTGGGTAAGGGAGTTATATAAGTTATATATACATTTATAAAAAATAAAAATGCAAGCCACAGTCTCAACTAACGCACATGTGAACACACTTGATCAGTGATATATGGAAAAACCAGTGTTCACCGGAGAGTAAATCGTATTGTCTCAGCTGGACTAATGACTGGGACCAGAAGCCTGGAACACAAAAGCTACCGGAGCGCTTCCAAGTCCAAAAAGATTTCCTGCAGCCGGCGCCTCTGCGGAAGATTTGGGAAGCAGCAATAAGGGCGCGGCCTTCTTAGTGCTGGCCTCCCATTTTGGAAGGTAGTCATCTTTTCAGTGCCAGGTTAAGACTGCCCTCTAGCCTCAGGCACTGAATGGCATATGATGGAACATTTACGTCCGCTCTCTCTGCAATGCATCTAGCATTTCAATTGAAATTGTTTTTAGCTGTTTGAATTGCTTTACATTTTGTAGACTGACTATGTGGTATACTAGTATTTGTGCTTTGCACTTTTATTAATTCCTGTGAACTGCCCACAGACTGTTGGGAGGGTCAGAAATGAGAAATTAATAGTAAAATAAAGAATATTGAATACCATGCTTCTAGAAGCACAGTCTTAAGTGTGCGTAGGGCCACAGGCTGTAGCCATAAAATACAGTAAGATGTAAATGTACATTGCTGGTACAATTCCCTATTTATCATTGGCCATGCAATATCTGCTAAAAGTCAGAGTTTATCTCCAGAGCCTACAAGATTTCTGAACGTCAGCAAAGCATTGTAATATAAGACACCCACCCCAAAACACACATGCACAATTCTTATTGCATGCCTTTAGCATCAAAGAATAATACTATAATAATACAGTTTATGTAAATTAAGAATGGAGAAGCCATAAAATGCTTATTCCATTCCCACACGAGCATTTACCGTAACAGAGTATACGTTCTCTGATAGTTTATATCAAAAGAGGTTTGAACTAGGCATCCAAGCCAATCTGCCTTAAGGCAACAAATTAAGTCTCCCCCTTATAAAGTGTTTTGGGTCATTCAAAATTCACAATAACAAAGAGGAGCTTCCCCCAGAAGATGCTACAACTAGAATAAACAACCACACAGGGGACAACGTCATAACGGCACAAATTGCTTCAAATGTGTTACCCAACAGACTCACGGATAGCTGTGAAATTTGCCATGGAAAGCTTTACCCTGGGAATCATTCCAAGTTAATTCTTACATTCCAACTTTAGAATTATCTAAAGTTACTTAATTACTTAATCTTATGCATGTTTAGACAGAAAAGGGTTATACTACTTCATCCATACTTGCCCTGAAAAGCCACACTCTGGCTAGGAAAAGCTGGGAGTTCTCAAACTTTTTTCTGTCTTACGCACGCATCAAGTTGCTCCCTTAGAAACCCAACAATGAGAACTTGAGTGCATTTGTCTTGCCTTGGCAATGTCAGCAGAAAACTCAAAATGCCAAAATCATGGATAAAATGTAAATATTTGGGGAACTTCAAGCAAATCCTTTTCAATCATACTCGAAGACCTTGCCAAGGTTTCTTTTAAAGGTTGTTCGAATGAAGAAGTTTGAAGTTAGCCCCAATTAAAACAAGGACATCACAACCAGCAACGGTTGGGTTCAGATTCTGGTTTAAGATCCTGGCTTGTTCTATTCTGGTAATCCCCCGTTTCCCCCCCCCCCCCAACTCTACACAATGGCTAATTAATCCAAGAAGTGCTGAATCACAGCACGCCAGACAGCAAGGACAGAGAGCAAGGGCACAATACAGGAGGCAAACAGACGTCCTGGCTTGCTGAACTAAGATATACACAGCCCAACTGGGCCAAAGTGTTAGCCTATTAAAGGAAGTAAATGTTTATTCTAGCAAAAATTTATCTTAGAAAAACAACGCTCCAAAGCGTTTAGATAAAGACCACAAAAGGGTCTTTTCAAAAGGGCGGCCTGTTACAGCAAACAACACCAAAAAGGTTCTAGCAGATTGGCTCAGTTCACACATGACAAACCCAGATTAAAAAAAAAGAAAAAGATCAGCTAAATGAAACCGGCATTGTCATTCTAAGGACATGCTGTGACTGGGTTGTTTACTAGGATGTGCAAACCAGGGACTCTGCTTTGCTTTCCCGTGGCAAGTCAAACGGTTCCAATCCTGGTTGTTCCAGGGACAAGAGCCGGAGAGCTGGGTTTCGATGCCATGCTAAATGCACAGGAACCACATCACTGGGTTCTTTAGCTGCTCCTTGGCTTTTTCACAACAAATGCAGGGTTGAAAGACAAGCACCCGTGTCTTCACTATCTGCTCACCAGATGATCGATTGTGATGTTTGCCTCCAGGAGCTCCCTGATGTACAGCAGTTTATCCTACAGGAGCAATATCTGCAAGGGCGTCCTGGGCATTTCCTAGCATTCTGGCCCCTTGGCTTATGCGTTTCACCAGTATAGCCATGTATATTTCTGTACCTATTTAAAACCTTTCCGCCGCTAATTAAGGCAAGCCTTCATCTATTTGACATATTGGACTCCAGCCTACATAAGCGTCTGACAAAATAATTAGAAATTGTTTGTGTGGCAGATCTGATGAGTTCTTCCGTGATGCGAAAGGATCAAGTTCATCATTAAATGGTCCCTTAGCTCAACTACAGACATCTTGCATTTAGTCCAGCTTGCCCCGTCTCTGAGGTTCAGCCTCTGTCTTCCTGTCCCTGTAAAGTCATTCTGTCATCCCTATTTTTTTGTCTTTTGCAGACGTGTGATCAACATGTTGCTAGTGGTCATTGCTGAGACAGTTGCTTTTCAAGACTCGGCTTCCTTCCCAGAGACTCTAGAAATTAAGCTTCTAATGCACACTGGCTCATGCGCACGGGTACATAAATGCACGGACCGTGGCGAGGTGCAGGCCACAAGGTCAGAAGAGCAGGACTTCTTGCTCAGCACGGCCAAACCCTTGCCCACCTTTCCCCCTGCTCTCTTGGCGCTTAGCTGCAGCACTCACGGGTATTCCTTGGGTGCTCCCGCTGCCTCTCTCACGGGTTTGCAGGGGCTTTACATGGGATGTTCCCCCCTGCAGAGGATCTCTCCTGCGTTGCAACCATCCCTGTTTCTTCTGGGTCCAGGAAAGTCAGGCAGAACGTGCTCTAACAGAGCCAAGCTCAGGGAGCCAAGGTTCCGTTTGGATGCCAGGAAGCACTCCTGACAGTCAGGACCCCGAGGGTGTGGACTGGGCTTCCATGGGAGGTGGTTGAGGCCCCACTGGTGAGGGTCTTCAAAGATAGGCTGGACATGCACATGGTGGGCATGTCATGAGCGGAGCCGGCTGGAGCCGGGAGTCAGACTAGATGGCCCGGGAGACCCCTTCTGACTCGCTCTGTTTCTATATTTCTGTGTTTCATTTGAATAATGTTTTCACAGAAAGCTAAAGTTAGTCTGAACATAAAGCAGCATCCAGATTAATACAGAATAATTGAATCGTTCTTGATTTGTTTCTGAGAATGTGGTTTTCCTCTTTGCATAAGGAGAGGTTGAGATTTTCCAGATGTCCTTCTGGACATGCAGAAATCTGCTCACGTTAAACCACATTATTATTTCAGCTTATCTGTGCCACGGATAAACAATGATGGCTGATCTCACCTTCTCAGTTACAGGAGAGTGCTTATATTTCATCAGTCTTTTAAGATGGAAATCCAGGGGGCAAAGAAAAGGACTGGCCATGATTTATAGACAGGCGTTGCAGCTGGCATGCAACTGAGAAACAAAAAATTTCACAATAGCATTCTTCTAACATGTGAAAAATATTTCTTGCAGGCGTTCTCCTCTAAACAAACAGGACTAAAGCCAGGGTGAGGAACTGGACCGTTGGGTTTCCCCCACCCCTTCCTTGGTCTTGCCCTCTTTCCCCAGCTTTCCCCCAGCTTTCCGTCTTTCCCAGCTTTTGTGCAATTTTTCCCTCTTCCAAAAGGTAGAAACATTTCACTTACAGCTTTGTTACCAATAAGAAAAGTTGGTAATGAGCTAGCATTTTGGTCTTCTGGCCCCTTACCGACTCCTGGAATGCCGTCAGGAGCTTCTCTGAACTAACGCTGGTGCTCAGCCTGACAGAAGCCGAACATCCTGCGGCACAATCGAGCGGCATACAAATGTTTTAAATAAACAAACAAACAAATCCTTAATGGCACCCCAACGTTGCAGAGGGAGCTGGTGGGGGAATGTACCCACAGTAGGGCTCAACTTGAACTCTGAGGAGCTGTCCGTGGTGCTGACCTCTGACCCCAGGAAGATTCGGCACGGCTGGCTGGGGTGAGGACTTTTTTCCTGTCTGAACACACACAGGATTCTGCCCTTAATCAGCTTATTCCACAGCTGAATGATTCATTTTGAGCTATACTTAAGCCTCTTCATTCCCTCGCACACTTATCATGTTGGCATCTTCGATTTATTCCAGGTCCTTCAAACCAAGTTCTTTCTCAGGTACAGGATCGTGCATTCTTCATGACTTCACCTGCTTTTCAGGATGGGCATCCGAGGTACAGCTGCATGTGCTGGTGGTTCCAGCAGGCCTTCTTGGTGGTGGCACCCAGGTCAGGGCACAATCCCCAGCAGTTTTACTTTGCCGGTGTCCATTACAAGCTCTTGCAGCTGCCAGTGAAATAGTATCCCAAGCTGTTTATTCTTGTCCTTTTTCTGCTCCAGTCACAGCCGGTTAATTGTTTTGTGGCTGTCAGAATATTTTGCAATAAAAACGTTCAGCTGCTTTCCTGCATGAATTAGGCCAGTATGATCTCCATATTTCAGATGGGGGGCTGGGAGAAAGCCGCTTCCTCTAAAGGAGCCCAAGTCAGCTAACAAAATGTAAACAGTAAATTTACCCATTCCGCAGCTTATTTACTTTGCTAACATGCTATTCTGTATTCTGTGCAACTCTTGGGGTGGGCCAAATTTCGCCTGCTTGTTAGTTTTGTAAGCACTTAAGGAACCCACTGGCTATACAATTCTCCACTGGACGTCAGAAAACAGATGAGGAAATGTGAGAACACGCTGTTCTGGATATTGTACAATCTTAATCTACATACGATCCAGAAACACCTATGATTTTTTGTAGCTGTAAGGCAGGATCTTTAGACAACTGAAAGTCCAAAAACTAGGGTCCCTGAACCAGTCCTTGAGGTCAGCCATCACTGGCACTGTTTCAAAATGGACCAGACAAAACTCCAGGGCAGAGCAAGCTTAAGCTGCTGTGCGTTGGCGGTTCCTCCTTGCTCGTGGATGTTTGCAGGTGCTTTCCATTCCTGTGAAGTGGCAGAGAAATCAAACAGATAATAAATATTAATCCCACAGGCCGTCTCTTGTGCTTTGCAACCCTATCGGCGGCTTTTTTGGGAGATCTGGGGGAGACCGCTGCCATCTGGCACCGAGCTCCAAAAGCGCACACTTTTCCAACAGTTCTGCTATACAACAGCCCCACCTTGTGGTCATATGGGAAGGAAGAGGAAGAAAAACTCTGGGGTAGGGGAACTGTGTAAAGGAGCCAATTTTAATCCCACTAAGAATCTGGGAGCAGAAGCCTCGTGCAGGGAACTTAATTTTAGGACCAGCAGAAACAGTCATCGGTTGCATTTCAGCCTGACAAGCCACAATCTCACACCTTGGCATTTTTCCATGAGCCACGCACATGAGCCTGGGAGAGGATGCTTGCCTTGAGCATTCGGGGTGTTCTTTTATTCTTCAAATGTTAACAACAAAGCCCAAACTGCATCCAGTCTGCAGACCTCCAGGAATACCACAGATGGACAGAAGACGGCAGTTTGACAAAGCACCTTCTAGCAAACCGTAACGAAGGGGTAAATATATGCTTGTGCGCACCATGTGCTAACGACAAAAACGGGCTCCACTCTGTGAATCCAAAAACACACAAAGGGGGTCGCCGTTTATCCATATTTCAACCAAGCTGGTCTTTGCATTCAGTGCCCAGTATCAAACACAAAAAAGAATAAAAGGAAATTACAAAAATTATAGCTTTAGACTCACCGGGGCTTTTATTTCCATATGGTAAGGCTGCCGCCCACCTGCTGTTCTGAAAGACTGAAACACCTCTCTTAGTTTTAAGCTCAGATAGGCTGATATTTCTGGTCTTTTGTCCTGCCCACTCATGCGCTTGGCCCTCTGCGTCACTGGGGTGGCCCTCCGTGGAGAAGAAATGGAATTTGGTCCATGAACTGGGAGGTTCGCCATCGATGGGGAAACGGGCAGAAAAGGGTGCACCTTCAAACAACAGATCAGAGTTCGAAGGCTTGGGTTACGGCTCCTAGGACGAAATGAACCAATATAATAAAAGTCACAGAAAGACAGTTGTGAATTATTATTTTATAGAAAAATGGAGCCGCTTCATTTCATATCGGAATGCGAAACTGCCTTCCACTTCCAAAACGCAAGCGTGAGCAGAGGGCCGCTGAATGTTTTGAAAAGTTCCCAGAGCAAAGACTTTTTCTCTCTCAAAGGAAGTCATGTTTCCCTGTTTTGATCCTAAGGGCAAGTTGCTGCTTTCCCTGAAGCTCCAGAGGAATCAGGCGCATGCTCATCAGCAGGGAAGCCGAAATATAATCCAAACCGGAGAACAAACAAACAAACCAAGAGTGGAACCAACCAGATTTTACTCCTAGCTCCCTCCTCCTTCGGTGCTCCGTTCCCTCCTCTTAACAGCTCCTTCCACAAAGCACGCCTCCTCTCCACCCATTCGAGGCGATATATAGGATCCTTCGGAGCGCTCCCGGGTCTGTGGTCTCCCTCCTTCCTTCCTTCGGGTTGCAACACGGTCCGAGGAGAGCGAGAGCAGGCGTGAGCGGGGCCCAGCATGGGTAAGAGACGCCGCCCTTCGCTTTTGGCCAGCTTGCCCAGGCAGCCCTGCCCTGCACGCAAACCAAGCGTCCCCCGGCGGGGGCTGCAGGTGCAGCGCACGGGGCTGGCGCACGGCAGGCGAAGTTGCGCAGAGCGCTCCTCTTTCCTTCACAGCTCCGGCAGCCGCCCCTGCGGGAAGCGGGAGGGTGCGGGCGGGCGTGCAACGGTTCTCCGGCAAAACCTGTGGCTTGCACGCGCAGGAACGAGCCCCCCGGAACGCAGAGGGGCCGGTGCCGGTGAGGAATTTCAGGTCGGGGCTGCACGGCTTGTGCTCCAGGCATTTCCTCCCGAAGTCATCCATGGGACCTCTGCGGGAGTGTGCCGAGGGCTGGGACTCGACACCGCTGGACAGGAGCGGCCCTTCCAAGCGGCCTTCCCCGCACCCTTTGGCCGGGAGTGCCGAGCAGCGCGCCCCGCACGCCTGGAGGGCACCGGCTTGGCGAAGGCTGCCGGAGGAGGTGCCTTTCCAAAACTTTTAGCCTCAGGCGAGTGTGCGCAAGGTTGCTGCAGCTTTAATCTTTCGGAGGAGTAGCTGCGTAATTACGGCTTCATGCAGCCGGAGGCTCCGCTGGTTTACTCTGATGTAAGTCCCGCTTCGTGCCACGGCGGGCTTCCTCCTAGTCCAGAGGGCGCTCGTAATCGGCGCTCAGATCCGCTTTTGGGCTGCGTGGCTGGAATCCTAAACGCGCGGTGCCGATCGTGCCAAAATTGTGCAACGAGAACGGCTCGGCCGGGAAGCCTCTGCAGACAAGTCGGGGCGCCGCGGCTGCGCTATGGGTTGGAGAGGCCATGCTGGAAGACGGTCCGGCCAAGGGGGATGTCCAGCCACTTGCAGGGCAGGGAGGAGGCGGAACGGGGCTCTTTCCAGAGAGGTCGTTGCCAGCGCCCGGCGCAGCAGGAACGGAGAAGGCTGCCCTGGTCCTTTCCAGACTGACGCATTTTATTTTATTTTATTATTTATTAAAGCATTCGGGCTGGCCCTGAGGCGCACGGCCCGCTCCATCAGCCGCCTGGAATCTGAACCTGCGTGGGGTGGTGGGGAAGGGTGCTGGACGGGAACTCGGGGAGCCGGCTTCCTTGTAAGCCTCTTGGGGGTCCTTGCAACGGGGTGGGGGGTGCGGGGAGCAGGCCATAAATGCAAAGTGATATCTATGGTTTAGATTTAGATTTGGAAAGCACGCCCATAGTCCTGGGGGGGCTCTCTGGGCAGTGCACAGTATAATAATAAAAACCAATCATAAGAATAGATAAAATGCATATGATAATGCAATTATAGGAACTGCACAGAGCATACACTTAAAATTACTCAGGTACGGTAGTAATAAAGCCATTATTCAAATTCCTAAAAATATAAAATTAATTCAATGTTTTTCAAACTTTAAAATATCTGGACAATAGGAATGTCTTTGCCTGTCGCCGGAAGGATAATAGTGCCAGGCATACTTCTCTGGGAAGTCTATTCCACAGGTGGGGTGAAACCACAGAAAAGGTCCCTCTTCTATTTGCTGCCCCACACCTCTTTGGGGGATGGCTGCTTGAGAAGGGCCTCTGCACCAGACCTTCGTGGTCGGTGGGTCGGCGTTCCTTCAGGGATCCTGGTCCCGAGCCAGTTGGGGCTTTATAGGTCAATACGAATCCTCTAAATTGGGCCTGGACCACAACCAGTGGTAGATGATACAAAATGTAATACAGGCACATGGACCAGCTTTGGTCAATAGCCGCACAGCCGTATTCCGAACCAGCGGAAGTTTCTGGACCGTCTTCAAAGACAGCCCCGCTCTGAGTACATTACAGCAGTCCAGTCCAGAGGTCACCTGGTGGTGTGCCACTGTGGCCAGGCCCTACCTGTCCAGGTAAGGCCACAGTTGGTGTCTCAACCGCAGCTGAAGGAAGGCACTCCTGGGCAGAGTCTACCTGAATCCAGCAGCACCCCCAAGCTACAGAGCCTGTCCTTTCCGGGGAGTGCAACCCCGTGCAGGACAGGTGGAAGTCCCCAGACAGTCTATCCACCAACAGCACCTCTTTCTTATCTGGACTGAGCCTCGGTTTACTGGCCCTCATCCAGTCCATACCGAGCTCACACAACAGTTCAGAACAGAAACAGCTTCCCCTGGGGCTGATGAAAATAAAAGCAGAGGGGTGACATCTCAGCCCACCCCTCTGAATGCCCTCGCCCAGCCTCCCCAGCACGCCTTGCGATACCTGTAGCCGGGCATTACAGAGAGGGTCTTGCCTCACTTCCTCATTAAGAAGGTTCCAGAAGTTAGTAAAGCCCTCCTTGTGCAGGGAAGCATTTAAAATGTCATTTTAATGTGTCCATTCTCCTCTCTCTCTCTCTCTCTCTCTCTCTCTCTCTCTGTGTGTGTGTGTGTGTGTGTGTGTGTAATGGAACCCTCTTTTGTGTAAGTGAAAACCTCAGGGTGGGGTTTTCTGCTTGAACTTTACAAACAGTCCCGGAGCTGTTTTGTCAAAGAATCGTAGAATAGCAGAGTTGGAAGGGGCCATGAAGGCCATCAAGTCCACCCCCTGCTGTTGCAGGACACCAGTTCACTCCACCCCACTCAGATGGCTGCCCAGTTTCTCCTTGAATGTCCCCAGTGTGGGAGAGCCCCCCCACCTCTCCAGGCAGCTGGTTCCACTGCTGTATTGCTCTGACACTGGGAAAGCTTTTCCTGATATCCAGCCTGAATCTGGGTTGTCGCAACTTGAATTGATTATTCCATGCCCTACACTCTGGCATTTGGCCAAGAAGTGAAGTAACAATGCTGGAGTTGCAATATTTTTCCTTCCCTCTAAGCCTGTCAAGGGCCACACCTTAAGTCAGAGGTCCCGAACTTGCAGCCCGCGGGCCAATTGCCGGGATGGGCGGCCCACCACCACCGCAGTGGTGGAATGCTTGCTGCGGCCCAGCCTCGCCCAGCCTCTACTTCCAGCGGCCCCCAGGTAAGTTGAGTTTGAGACCCCTGCCTTAAGTAAACCAAGAAAGACCAGGCAGGATTCTAGAGCTAGAAAAGGCGATGGGGAAAGGACGCCCCAAAGGGATGAGATATCCCACCTCCCCTTCTATTTCTATCCAGCCATTTTTCCTCCTGCAAGTAAACCAGAGCAGCTTCCCCAGGTTGTCATCTTCTCTCCATTTTATCCTCACAATGACCCTGTGGTGAGGCAGAGAGGCAGCGACTGGCCCAAAGTCACCCAGCGAGCTTCACGAGGGAATAGGACCCAATCCGCTGGTGTTCCGGTTCAGCTCTCGGGCCCCTGCGCTCCAGCGCAAACACAGCACAGGGAATACCTGAAACCGCTCCCTTGCGGCTGCACAGAAAAGGTTTGGCAGGCAACGAACATTGACAAAGCCAAGACGGGGGCAAACGAGCGGCCCAGACTTGTTTGGCTAAAGAAAGCAAAGATACGGAACAGGGTGAGGCTGGCAGCGGGTGGCAGGACACGCCATAAGAGGATTTGGAAGGGTCTGAGCCATGAGGAAGAAACGGGCTGCTATTCAGGAGGGAGGGTGGGATGCGCACAGGTAACATGAGAGCTGAACTGTGCCACAATTTGGCCTCTGTATGCGCCTGGGGAAGTAATTCTCTGGGACTGCAAACACTTTGAAGGCTTTGCTCCAGAGTAACTTATGTGCCTAGTGGGTTCAAGGTGATCCTGACCTGGGGAGAGGCCAATTTTCAAAAGGGGCAAAAAGGAAGAACTGGGAAGCTGTGGCCTCTCCCTTCGGTGCTGGGGGAGACCAGGGGTAGATGACAACGGAGCCCTTGCTAACAATGCAATGATTAGTGTGAGCCAGTGTGGATTTGCCAAACCTTCTCTGTCTTCTTTCGAAAGGGTTGCTAGCTTAGTGGATTGCGGGAATGCTGCGGATGTAATTTATCTTGGTTTCAGAAAACTAAGAGAGATCTTAGTGATATTTTGGGCAGAAAACTGCTGTAATGCAGGCTAAATCGGCCATTCCTGTCCCGGTGCTCCACAGATGGGTTGGACTACAAGTCTTATCCTCCCCAGTCATGATGGGAGTTGTTGGCCAGCACATCTGCAGGACACCAGCAGGACCCATGGACTAGACGACAGCGCTGGAGAGGAGTTTTGGCGCTGTTGGGAGAACCTAGAGGGTTCCTCTTTGCACTGGGGGAAAGTTTTGACAAGCAGGGTTCTAGGCACTGTGGTCGCTCAGACACCAGACAGGAGCCAGCAGCATGATCAGTTGCAAAAAAGCCGAATACTATAATGAGACCTGTTTCTAAATCATGGAAAATAACATGTTTACTATATTCTGCCCCATGTGAAAATTGTTTTTTAACAGCGATCTGAAAGGCAGGTTCTTGATCCAGCCACAATGCAAATATCTTTCTTCAGCTTATTGCTGCTATAAAACCATTTCATGCTTCTCTCCTCTCCTTTTTCTTCTTTTGTTTAATGTGTGACTTATTCAAGCAGGCTGCCAAATTCTAGCCAGATTGGTCTGTTGCAGCACACCCAGCAAAAAAGGGCTTAGAAGTTGTAAAGATAAGGCAGAAGATGCCCACTTGGTGGTGCTTGTAACAGATTAGCTACTGCCTCTTGGTTGTGCAGAGATAAAGAAGACAGTTACACCTTATAAAACATTTCAGTGCATCGCAAAAGCAAAGATTGCACCAGGCTGTTGCAATGTACCAGGAAGAAATCTGGGAAGTAACACCGCATGGTAAAATCTGGGGCAAACGGTTAAATTCAAGGCCAGGGTGGACGTGCGGCTTTTTCAGAGGTGCAGCTGAAAAGCTCTTGGGACCATGGAGGCCAGCCTTCTCTCAGACAGACACCCCTCTCTGAACTTCCAGCTCTGGGTTTTAAAAACCTTGAGTTCCTCTTAATTGTGGAGCTATCAAAGCTTAGGAAGTGGGCAACACCCTAACCGCTGCGGCACAGCGCTGGGTGGGGAATGTGGGGAGCTGTGGTCCCTCGTGGCTGGGGAGCGCCGGGGGGGGGGCTGTGGCAGGGGCTCCCCCCACAGACCTGGCTGGGGCCCGTTCCCTGTGGTGGCCCTGCAAGCGCCACTGAGGTCTGTGTCCACCCACCTGCATGACAAGACCCCTTGTGAAGCTGATGACCAGGAAGGTGAGGAGCGAATGAGGGACTTCTGGATCTGAAAGACGCCTGGGGCCAAACTTCCACTGCAGCTGACTGCTGTGATAAAGAGCATCTTGATGCGTGTGATAAAGAGCAGGTTTCCATGCTCTCTTTGTGCTGCTCTCCCTGGATCTGTGGGGACATCGCTGGCCTTAAATGTGGCAGAGCTGTGGATCGGAGAGCAGAGGCAGAGCCCTGGGACCGGACGGCCAGTGCGGCGTTCTGCTCACACGAAACCTGCAAGCGGGGCGCAGGTGCAACGGCACCCTTCTGCCCATGTGCCCCAGCAGTGGGTGTGCAGGCACACGGGTGCTGCAGGTAGCACAGAGCCACCCAGACTGGGAGCCATGGATGTGTCCTCCGTGCGAGTGACCCTCACTGCTCCCCATGGAATATTCCGTCTTCTGACGATGTGCCAGGAAAAGAAGCCCTTCCTTTTAGTGGCCCGAAATGTCCCGCCAGCCCCCTTGACCCCCTTGGGCTCGAGGATCAGGAGAGGGCAAGAAAAAAGCCTCGCCACCCACTCCCCCCACAAGGAACCCCTGTCCACACTCTGAGATCACCATCGCTAGTGCAGTGGAAAAGTCCATCTGGACTTGTTTCAAACCTCGTTTCGAACTGTGGCCAACCCGCTGGACGGCCCTCAAGCAGGGCACAAAGCCAGGCACCTCCTATCTGTCCTCAGCATCTGCTTTTGGAAGGTATACTTCCCCTGCACATGGAGGCTCCATTGAGCCAGCAGGGCTAATACCAGGCAACAGACCTCTTTGCTGCTATGGTTTTGCCTAATTTCCCTTCTAAAGCCACGCATGCTGTAAGGAACAGCAGCTCCTGGGCGGGACCGCTCGGCAAACAGCTCCCCGCTCATTGCGGAGAGGGGGCTTCTATCACCTGAATGCTTCCTTTAGCAACTGCAGGTAACTGGAGCTTCTTACGATTTTTCCCAGAGAAGAGACAGTCACCAAAAGAAAAAAAAGAGAGGGAAACGAACTGCCTGGATTGATTCGCTGTGTGTACATTGCCAAGGGCTTTCCGACCTTTGTCCTGCTCGTTTTAACAGCCCCAGGGAATCCGAGTACTGGATTGGCTTTCCACCGACCCGCACCTGGAAGTGGCTTACCCCTTTGCTCCTCCAGAGTGTGTGTCAGCCACTGATTCTGGCAAAGGGGCAGTGTGGAGCACCCCCCACAGAGATGCGATTGGAGGGCCAGAGCCAGGGCAGCTGGACTGCAGCTCGGGCAGGACCTGGGTTCTGCCCCCGTCAGGGCCACTGGAGCCCGCGGGTGACTGGGCCAGTTGCTGCCTCTCAGCCTAGCCGACCTCACATGGCTGTTGTTGTGAGGATAAAAGGGAGAGGAGGGGAACCCCAGAAGCCGCTCTGGGTTCCCTGAAGGAGGGCGGGGAAAGCAGGGCGTAAATACAATGGAATAAACGGCGTGAATAATCTCTGATATTTGTCGCATCCCGTATGAATAGGGTTCGAAACACAGGAAGTCAAATTTGGTAGGTCTGAAAGACCCCCAATTCCTCCAGCTGAGCAACACCAGTTAAACAGGAACAAGTCAGATCAGAATCCACTGCTGCGCTCTGAGCAACACCCTGGCTGGGAGCGAGAAATAAAGAAAGGCATTCAGCCGCTTACCATGATCGTAGAAACGGGGTGGAAGGTCCGCAGCAGGCAGGGATCGCCTTCCGTGAACATTTGCCTGTGCCCACGGGTGGCGCGGTTCTTATGTTGGCATCGGTCTCCCTTGCGTCTTCCAAGATCTAGCTGGTTAGTCAGGGTTGTGTGAATGTTAATATTTGGTAACAAGGCAAGCTGGTTGCTGCAATAAAGAAGACAAGTGAGCATGCCAATGTGTTAATCTTGTTGATTTGATGTTTTTACTTCTGTAGTCATAAGGTCTAGAAACTTGATTTTCACTTTTTAATAAAAAAAAGTCAAGACACTGGAAGCTGAATTCTGCATCATTCCCCATCTTTTCCCCACAGAATTCCCCTGTCCAAACCTAGTGAATTCTTCAAAAGACACGTACATCAAAATGCTTTCTGTATCCAGAAAAGATGTCTCTTGGGACACGGGTCCCAAGGCTTTCTGGAGCATTTTGACCCTCCCACGAATGTTTTGTTTTGCAGCGAAATGTGGAGCGTGTGGCCCTGGGTACAAAACCCCCCTGGACGCGATGAAAGGTAAGGCAACCCTTCTGTCCTCAGAATCCAAGGCACGGGGTCCTTGTTTGTTGAATGAACGCTTCTGCAGCCAGCCAGCCTTGCAAGGAGGTCTCCACAAGTGGGAAAGCAGACAGAGTTTATCAGGGTGAGACCTGTGGCCCCCAGGAAAGAGAAGCGCATGTGTTAAGGAGAGAACACTCGTTTTCAGTTGCCGTCTGCATCTGGCACAGCAGATAATGGATCCTGTTTTTTGCGGAACTTCTGGGTACAAGAGCCTCCGAGATTACCCTCTTCCAAAATTTGATAATTAGAGACGCAACGTTTTTATGTGGGGCTGGGGAAAAGTGCTGGCTGGGCTCCAGAGAGCTGTGTTCGTGCTCCGCCACCGAGTCCACCGGGTGCTTCTGGCCCACTCCCTGCCTCTCGGCCCAACCAGCAGCCACACCAGGGGCTGCCTCACCGGGAGACCTCGGCAAGTCCACGGTGTGGCCATCACGACCCATGTGCCCTCGGCATTAGTAAGACCTGTCCCTTCCCCTTCGTGTGCCTGGGGCTTTCTTCCGCCTGAGCAAACACCAGATTTATTCTGCCTTTGAAAAGGTCCCCGGGAAGAAATTGTATACCTGCCCTGCATCTACCGGAACACAGGAATAAAGAAGCCGGATTACCTGGCCACTGTGGACGTGGATCCAAACTCCCCCACCTACTGCCAGGTATGTTTTGCTGAGTGCAGAACCGGCTTTTCGTGGCACTGCTGCCCTGGAACGAGCACCAGTGTCTGCTCCTCTCCCAGGAAGCTGCTTCCTAAAATTATAATGGCTTCGGTTCTGTCCAAGGAGGGTGTTGGGGGAACCTCTGGACATGCACTGAGGCTTTGTCTGGACGTGCTGCGAAAGCAGGTGTGAGGACCTGAACGAATTAGCCCAATTTAGGTTGCAGGTGTGGCTCGCTTCCACGTGCAAAAGCTCCCTGCAGAGAGACGTACAGCTTACGAGGTGCTTACGAACTGCGGGTGATGCAACGGGTTTTGTGACGGAGGCCGGGTTCAGCCAAACCACAAGCCACTCCCAGCCCTTAAGTGTGGATTATCCATATTTGTGGCATTTCTTCAGAGATTATGGGCTAGCAAATAATACAACGATTTCGAAATTCCTCCTAGTTGCTACTTTCTGATGGGGGAAAGGTAAACCCTACATCACACACTTGATAAGAACTGACACGTCCTCGTTTCTGACAGGGTTAGAAGTCAGAAACTGAGTGGATCGGGCTGTCGGAGATGTTTTCTGGCAGAACTGTACGTTTTCTGCCTGAAGAACGCTAGGCATTTTCCCCCAGATGTGACTCCCAGTAACACTTGAGTGACTCCGGTTACTAAATGGTTTGTTTACTTTGGTGAAGGAGGCCGGTGGTTTGTTCGACTGGTTTGACAAGGCACCTTGTCCATTCGTTTGCGTAGCAGCGTTTGAAAGACCCTGCCGTGCAAAGAAATATCGCACGCAGCCAGATCTGTCCACTGCTACAGGGCACCGTACACGAGCGATGCTTAGGCAAGGAACTCTCTCCTTGGGCAGGTGATAGCAAAGCCAGGTCCCCCCCCCCCCCCCCCCCCGGTTGATGTCAGAGAGGCCAACTGTATTCTCCGCTTCACGTGATGAAGCCACAAACCAGGCCAGGGAGTTTGGCAAGCCAGATGAGGGAGCTGCAGACTCCAGTCCGTAAGCTGGAGGTCCCGCGCTTCCGCCTGAAACCGCGACTGCGCTGTGTCCTAGGTCATCCATCGCCTGCCGATGCCCAACGTCAACGATGAGCTGCACCATTCGGGGTGGAACGCCTGCAGCAGCTGCTTTGGGGACACGACCAAGAAGCGGAACAGGCTGATCCTTCCCAGCTTGATCTCTTCGCGGATTTACGTGATCGATACAGGCACTGATTCGCGAGCCCCCAGGCTATACAAGGTACGGGCTTATACCTTATGACAGCATCAAGTTCTGGGGGATAGGCCTCCCCAGAAAACTGAGCCAAAACTGAGCTATGGGACATCTCATTGGCCTAGCATGGCGTGCAGCCATTTTCAGTCGGCATCCAAATCCGTTGGGAAGAAACTCGGGCCATCGCAAGACAAGGACGGAGGGCACCGCTGGCGCTGGGGTTGCTACAGGAGTTTTCAGAACCTCTTGCCGGTTAAGCACGGAATTAAATTTCCGAGAAACTTTTGGAGCCTGCATTCCAGTGGAGAGGAGCACAATTCTGGTCCTGGGGGCCTGTAGCCCAATATGCGTGTTCGAACCGCCAGAAGCCTCGCTCTGACCGCAGGCACCTTTTTCTCTAGGCTGTTGAGCCCATCGACGTATTCTGGAAGTGTAACCTGGCCAACCCTCACACGACTCACTGCCTCGGCACCGGTGAAATCATGATCAGCACCATGGGAGACCCTTCTGGCAACGGAAAAGGTATCTCTTTGAGAAGGGGCCGCCCAAGGGCCTCGCAGGTGGCGGCCTTGGCTGCGTGTGAGCAGAGCAAGACCCTGCTCAGCACCGCGAAAGCCTTACTTCTCGGAGAAGTGTGGAGATTTGCATCATGTTTTCACATTGCCTCATTTATTTTGCAACTGCAGATACTTTACCAAGATAGGTCTTCTCTCCCAGAGGACGGGAAATTACATTCCGCTACCCCTTACTTCCCAGATCTCAAACGGTTGTTGTTTTGCAAACAGAAGGGCTAGAACTGCAAAGCCAGTGTGGCGTCGTGGTTAAGAGCCTGGGACTGGGACTCTGACGATCTGGGTTCGAGTCTCCACTCGGCCATGGAGCCAACTGGGTGACTTTGGGCCAGTCACAGGCTCTCGGCCCAACCTACCTCAGAGGGTTGTTGTTGTGGGGAAAAGATGGAGGAGGAGAATGATGTGAGCTGCCTTGAGCCCTTTGTAGGAAAAAGGCAGGATAGAAATCAAAAAATAAAGTTCATTAAAAGGAAGGAAGGAAGGAAGGAAGGAAGGAAGGAAGGAAGGGCAAGGGCAAGGGCAAGGGCAAGGGCAAGGGCAAGGGCAAGGGCAAGGGCAAGGCAGGAAAGGAAAGGAAAGGAAAGGAAAGGAAAGCTGTTTGGAAAAATGGCGGAGGCCAATATGTGCAGGATGCTGAAATGCTCGCATTCTGGTGGGTCACTGGAACAGCCCTGCTAGGGCGTTTCAAGACACGGTGATGTTTTCAGGAAATGCTCCTTGTGAGTGACAGTCCTTCTTATCACTGCTGCTCTCAGGTGGCTTCATCCTGCTGGATGGGGAGACCTTTGAGGTGAAGGGGAACTGGGAGAAAGGATCCAAGGTCCCGTCGCTGGGCTACGATTTCTGGTACCAGCCGAGACACAACGTCTTGATGAGCACGGAATGGGGCGTACCGAAGTGCCTGGCCAACGGGTTTAATCCAGCCGATTTGCAAAAAGGTAAGCAAACTAGTCCAACAGAAAGGAAGGCAAAGAAAGAAGCCTCCCAGGGAAAAGCCGATGTGTGAAGCTTAGTTCTGCAGAGAATCCAGAAACAGGTGCCTTGCCAAACTGGCAGGTTACACGACTTGCACAGGGAGGCCCCAAGCCTTAGGAAAGGCATTCCTATGGGATTGGGGGAAAACGGCAGGAAAGCCAGGAAGGCGCAGAACAATACGGCAAGGGAAAGGCGCATCCCAGGGCCAGGGACTCTGTGTCTCTGAAGTAGATTTTGCTTTGCTGCTCTTCGTGCCTTGTTATCTTCATTCGACCCCCTTCATTTTTGAAGGCTGCTACGGTGGGAACATCAATGTGTGGGACTGGACCACCCACAAGCTCATCCAGTCGATCGATGTGGGGAAAAACTCCATCCCGCTGGAAATCCGGTTTCTCCACAACCCTGACGCGGCAGAGGGCTTCATCGGCTGTGCCCTCACCAGTGTGATCCATCGTTTCTACAAGGATGGGGTAAAGGCAGGAGTGGCTGAACGGGTTTTGCGGATGGGGCGGCATAGAAGTCTTCCAGATAAATAATAAATAAATAATGCAGACTTGGTTCTTACAAGCAGAGGGTTCCAGATGCAAAGCCCAGAACCAAGATCGTGGCTAGGCAGCCAGGACGGCTCAGAATCGTCTTTCTGGGTGAGAAGGCCCACCCGTTTTCTCTGGTTTCAGGAGGCGTAATCAGTCTTAGGAACCGGATGTGTTTCCTGCCTCTGCTTGACTCTTCCGTTTTGCTCTTCCTGGGCTTGGGTTCCTGCTGGGGTGCACAACACACCCCACAGGCCAGACATGGGCTTCTGCACCCGCCTCCTCCCCTTCCGTGCCTTTTCTAGTCTTTTTCAACCAGGGAAAAAATAAAAAATGTGGTGGTATTTGGTGCCGGTATTTGGTGGCAAGTTCTGATGGCCGAGAGTGATGCACCCGTAGCTTGAAAACAAGCCAATTTTACCCTGCCTGCACCTTGACAGAGGCCTAGAAGGGCCAATGGCTTAGGATTTTACCATAATTAAGCAGTACAGAAGTATCAAAGCTAAGTATAATTTTGTTTTCTAACTAAAGTTGCCTGCTCTAAGTTTGGGTTGCTGCCAAACCATGAGTTTTGCAGACTGCCCCCTTTCCATAGGGGCGACGGCAGCGTGAACCATGGCAGGTTTGCCTGGAATGCTCTTCCTTGCCTCAGTCTTTCTGCCGAGGCAAGGAAGGAAAATATAACTCACTGTGGTGTCATTAGGGCAGAATGTCAGGGCACTAACCTGGGTGCCGCTGAGCAGAATAACCAGGAAGGCCCCCAAACACGGCAGGGGTGCCTTCCCGCATTGGAAGGCAGAGGAGGAAGGCCTGCTCTCATGTAAAGGGGGAGCGGACCCCGAGTAAGACCGCTTAGCCCGGAGTCTAAGATCTCCTGACCGCACCTCCAGCAGCTGAGGGGGCCTGGGGGACACCCCCTCCCCACAGTGGTCTGATCTTGATCTTCAGATGGGATCCAAGAAACGCTTTGCTGACCCAGGAGGCCAGCGAGGGCAGGGAGCCAAAGGTTTCAGGTCGTTCCTGGGACCAGAAGTCTTGCACAGGCGTTCTGCCTTTGGAAGCATAAGAAGCTGGCAGTGCTTCGTATCTGTCTCTGCGAGGCCGAGGGAGAGTCGAGCCAGAGACGGGGCGAACGCTCGTCCGGCAGAGGGACGGCGGTTGTGCAATCACAGTGGCTGCCTGGCCGGAGGCCAAACGCTGCATGTGGCGGTTGCCACCGCGTCTCCGTAAGTGGCTCGGTTCTCTCTCCTGTTGGGCTAGCGCAATCATTAACCGCCCTGTTTGCCCCATTGCAAGGGAGTTGTTTGCTCAGCTTTTGTGCAGCCTTGGTGTACGCGGCGTTAAATACACAAGATCGCAAGACAATCCTGCCGCGGAGATTAATTGCATTCTCTGCGACGTATCGCTGCATTGCCCACGCAGGCTTCAAAGCGTGGAGGGGCTGAGAGGCGGCCATGCACAAGGAGAACCTTCACCGAATGCCTTCTCTCCTCCTCTGCCAGAGCCCTCCCAGCCGTAAGATGGTGGCACATGTGCTCATTAATTTAATATTTTTCTTGCCAGACTTTCCCCCCCCAAAAAACACAAGAAGTCTCTCCTCTTCTGCTTTTTATCTTCACAGCAACCCTGTGAGGGAGGTTAGGCTGAGAGCGAGTGACCCAAAAGTCACCCAGTAAGCTTCGTGGCCAGCTGGGGATTAGAACCCAGGTCTATGAAGTCCAGCAGCCTGACCGTAAATCCTAGACAGGAGCCCTGCTGAGTTGGAATCTCTCTCTGTGCTAAGGATAAGGAGGGAATTAGGCTAAACTGGCATGCGCAACTGTTACGCAGCTGGTGTGCTCCTTCATCTCACGGTGGTGGCCGGTGCTCTGGCCACGCGTCCATGCCTCCCTGCGGAGGCTGCAGGAATTCACCTCTCCCTTTTCACTGCCCCATTCTCAGAACGGGACCTGGGCAGCGGAGAAAGTGGTCGAGGTGCCCAGCAAGAAGGTGGAAGGGTGGCTCCTGCCAGACATGCCGGGTGAGTCCCACGGGCTTCGGAAAGGGCTGCGGGAGGGTGTCTCGGGGTGGGCCGCCTCTCCCCCTCCACGCAGCCTCCCAGTCTTGAGAGGCGGGAGTCTCCAGGGCAGCTCGGAGCAGAGGTGGGCGGGAGGTGGATGGCCGTCTACCTGGGATAGGTCCGGGGCTGGTGCCAGAAGTCAGTGTAACGGGGCACCTGCCAAGGGCCACTGTTGGAAGCCCCCTGGCATCGCTCCTGCTCTTCACAGCTGCGGAGGCACATGGGCCTGTGGCTGGTGTCCATGGTGAGAAGGCCGGCTGGCCGAGGGAGTGGGCCCTGGAGCTGGCCCTGGGAAGCTCTCCAAGGGACTTTCCAAAGATCTGGAAGGGATTCCAAGCTGCGACAGCTGAACTGCAGCATGACAAAAGACCTGTCTTCCTCACAAATTCGGCTGCTGGAAGGAAGAACACCGGTGGGAGGGAATGGAAGTGTTTGCCGAGGGGCTTGTGCGTGTGCTCCACACACGCGTGTGGATTCCTGTCACACCACCCTGATCTTCCTTCTGTGTGGCGGTACTCTTGGTGTAAGGTCATTTGCTCAAAGACGTATGACATGGTGGGTTTCCACCCATGACTTCCGGCATGCTTGTTGTCCTGGCATTTCCCTTGCTGACTGCCCTTGGTTAATTTAACGAGGTATTTTATACTTTGATGGATTGGTTTTGCGTTATTTTATCGTGGTTGTTTTTAATCTTGTGAACTGACTGGTGATTTCAACAAACGTGGGCTTGACATCTTAGGAGATATATAAATGCTTCATGGTTCTCTCCCATATTTTCCATAAGGTCTCATCACGGATATCTTGATCTCACTGGATGATCGGTACCTGTTTTTTAGCAACTGGCTGCATGGAGACATCCGCCAGTATGACATCACTAATACCAGGAAGCCCAAATTGGTTGGACAGGTAAAAGCAAGCCTTGGTTGAGTTCCCAGCTGTACAATTCCCTTAATCTCGCGTTTGTTCATACCTCAGTACGTTAACTGCCTCCGGAAGTCCATATGGGGCATGCACGCATACATATATATGGTTATGTGAATATTTATGGCTTTATTCCAATGGAAGAATATAGAAATATGTAAAGCAACTAATAGAAAAAATGAAATAGCTACCCATCTGCCAGGAAGTGGCAAGGAGGCCTGGTGGATCTCTCTGGGCAGGCTCTGCGAAGTCTATGTGCCACCACAAAGAAATTCCCATCTTTCACAGCTGCCCACGGCAGCCCCAACATGGGATGGGCCTTAAGCAGGTTCCTTTGGGGTCGGTCGTCCGCTGGTCCAGTGCCAGAAATGGTAGAAAAGTGCTCTGCTGGGGATGTTGGTGATCCCGGGGCATGCCTTCCGTGGAATGCCGTGATTCCCCAAAGAGGCTCTTGAAGGAAAACTGGTTGGCAGCTCCACGGTCCCGAGGGATAAATTGACGTGGTTCTGCCACATGGGCTGGGACAGAAAAGGGCACCTTGTAGGTGTGTCCTCACCTGATTCCGTTGGTTGTCCCTGCAGGTGTTTATCGGAGGCAGCGTCGTCAAAGGAGGGCCAGTCACCGTGATCAAGGACCAAGAACTGGACTGCCAGCCGGATCCGTTTATCATCAAGGTAAAGCATGGGAGCGACGTCATATAGCTGTTAATTCATCCACTGAACAGGTGGCTTGCAAGCAAAAGCCCCATGGGTTCAGGTCGCAGGTCGGCCTAATTCAATATCCTGTTCTCTAAGAACTTGCAGGGAGAACCAAAAGCTTCTAGGAAGCCAATTTCAAGAGTTTCGCCCCCAGTCAATGCCTTCCTCTGCTCTGTTCAGTTGTCTAAGCCAGCTCGGTTCTCCATGGGAGGCGCTGGCTGCATGCTCGTAATCCCCAACTCTCGGGGGTCTGAGGGTGCACAGAGAGAAATTGTCCAACCACCAGAACCGCTCTTGCGCGGTGCAACGGCGCCATTGGCTTTTTTTAAGCACAAGGGCGATTCTGTATTTTCTGGAAATCGCGCCAGGAGAAACTCGTGCACCTTTGCACTTCCTCTCTACTGGGACACAGTGGAACGTGCAGGAAGGCAGAGGAAGGAAAATCCTGGGGAGAAACACGCAAACAGCCCACCGGGAGTGGCTGGATCTGTCACCTCCTCCGTGAGTGTGCCTGGTCCTTCTGAGGTGGTCACCGAAGCCCCCAGTGGCCTCCAAGGGTGGGGGGCTCCATAAGCTAACTATGCATTGTGTGGAAAGGGCTTTGTTTTATCTGCCCTGGGTCCCCTGATCTCTGTCCCCCTAAACGCATGCGTGCATCTCGGTCAGAAGAAAGGGAGGCGAATAATTCTCCTCATCACGGGACTCTTGGAAGGCCTCGTTCGTCTCTCTTGGGCTCTTCGGCCTCCTCTCAAAAGGAATGAGAGGAGCTGCGTGTTGATTTCGACCGGACTGCAGTGCCGTGCACGACCCGGCTCGATGGGACTTGTTGTTCCGCCTCTGAAACGGACAGAGGCCGCTCATATGTGGTTTCTCTCCCACTCCAGGGGACGCGGGTTCATGGCGGCCCCCAGATGATTCAGCTGAGTCTGGATGGCAAGAGATTGTATGTCAGCACCTCCCTCTACAGCGGCTGGGACAAGCAGTTCTATCCAGACATGATCAAGTGAGCTGCCTTGCCTTTGAGCGGCCTTCCCCTGGGTTTGTGCGTAATGTCGCGAAGGGTTCCCCAAAGGGGCAGAGAAACTCTGCACGGTCCCCCAAAAGCTCCTGGGGTCTGGCTTTGCCGCACCCATGAAATCGCCGCCTTTGCTCATGACCTGTTTCTACCTCTTTGTTTAGGGAAGGCTCCGTCATGTTGCAAATCGACGTGGACACCAAAAAGGGTGGCTTGAGCGTGAACAAAGATTTCCTCGTGGACTTTGGGAAAGAGCCGGAGGGCCCCGCTCTTGCCCACGAGATCCGCTACCCGGGTGGAGACACGACCTCCGATATTTGGCTCTAAGAGCCTTGGTGGAGCAGAGCCCAGTAGGACAGAGGGTGTGGGTTTCTCCTTTTTTCTAACTCCAGGTGTGAAAATCGATGCAGTTGGGGCCTCTACATAGATCAGTGTAACATTTCCACAGCTTTGCACGCAGTTCTGCCTTCCTGATACAGACTGAACACCAGCCTAGAATCCACAAAATGAAGTTGTCCCGCTTCCACTGAATTCTACCTTTTCAGTTGCAGTGTTGACTGCGTGCTTGAGCATCCTGCCAAATTAGAATAAACAGTGCATCCCAAGCCCCTTATGCATAGAAACCTAGTATCACAATACAAAGTTTCATGATTCGCTTTCTCCTTGAGATGCTAATTGTCCATGTGCAGGGACCTGGGGGTCTTTTGGGGCGTGTCTGTACAAGGAAGAGTATTTGAAAATGCACCTCCTCCAGCCTCTAAGTTAAATGGTGTAATCCAGGATAATTTACACCGCTTGATTATTTCTATAAACCTGCCCTGAGTCACTCCAGCCTGCATAGTTTAGTCTTGCCTGTATGTCTATTCTGCTCCCAGAAAGGAATGTGACAACCTGTGAACATCCCAACCCCGAATCAGAAAGTCCAGCCGGATTGAATAGTTTGAATAGGGGCGGCAGTCCTTTCAACTAGCTTGGTTCTTGAGTCACAAGTATAGGCAAGCTGGGGAAAAACAGGATCATCAAAACTTAGTGGATTGATGATTGTAGACGGGTCTAGAACCACAATCCCAGCAGAAACATTCGGCACTCCTGGGGTCTCAACTAGCCCCTCCACCCCAATTTCCAAGCTTTTGTGCAAGTTTCTACAAGGATGAAGCGCTGCTCCGAAGGTGTAGTTAGAAAAGCTTGAAGCTACAATTTGGCCCACTGTTCTAGACCGTGTGCCAGAGAGAACTTCCACTCCAGCAGTCTGGGAGTGCAAAATGGTTCCTTTTTATGGAAATGGAAAGGCAGCCCTGCTGGATCCGGGGCTGTTCCTCCTGGAGCAGGCTGCCCTGCTTCCAACAACAATCCCCCTGCTTTCTGTGCCCCAGCACCCGGTTGCCAGAACTGCCCGAGAAAGGGGCCGTCTGTAGGCATCCTGATTCCTGGCCACCGATTACTCTCCACGTCGTGCGGTCGGCTGCCCGGTGCTGAAGCGGTTCCTGCGGCACCCGTGTCTGCACAGCTTCCTGCGTGGATCGTGCTGGGGCCGTGGAAAATGCTTGACTCAGGGATAAGCAGCGGCTGGCACTTTCCCTAGAACAGACTCCAGGACCCCCCCCCCACCCTTTATTGTCAAGTTCATCCGCAAAATGCCCTGAAGACCCTCCCCTTTCAACTTGGTGCAAGAACCAGATCACTGCAGCCTGCTTGCGGCAGAAGCAGCTTGCCACATGCTTCTGATGCGAACTCCCAGAATCCCCTGCCGGCATAGCCAGAGATCAGGAATGCTGGGAACTGAAGTTGCAAACATGGAGATCTTTTGTCCACCCTGGTGTGGGCCTCCAGGGGCACTGCACCAGCCCTGGCAGTTTTCATGTACCCAGATGAGGCTTCCGATTGGGGTTCTCAGTTCCTCCCTCATAGAAGTATTTTCTTTTCTGCTTCCATAGGATTGTTCCTTTGCTATGGACCTTTAAAAGGGCAGAGAGCCAAAAATTATCAGTGTACAGTCCCAACCATTGATCTTCCCTCTTGAACATTCACACTCACCGAGAATACGTCCATGTAAATCCAGAGTTTAAGATGAAGTCCCGAAGGAACTCGGCTGCCAGATGCAAAACAGGGCTTTGCTCCTTATGCAATAATACGTTTTGCCACAAGAGGGCACCATTGTTCGCACTTCGCACAAGCCCTGGAACGAAAAGTCGCCTCGTCGGGGCCGAAAAGCCAATCCAGTCTTGCAGTAGTTTAATATCTCACCCCCAAATAAGAAAAAAAGGTTGAAAATGAAAATTCTCTGCCAAACAAGAATCCTCCTGGGAGAAGGCAGGCCAGTTAGAAAAGATCTCAGACTGCTCAAATTGTGTAGAAAAGGTGTCTGCTTCCACCTTTAGAATATGAGGTTTTAAATAAACCAGCGGCACAGTCATTTCTGTGTTGGGACTCGGTGTATGGCCAGCTACAATTCAGCATCCTTTCATCGAGCTGACATGTCCCTGCGGTGCCCAGGAAAACTACTCCAAGCCCTTGTCCTGTCCAAGCATTGCATCCTTAAGTTGCTAAGACAAAAGTCTAACGAATTCCTTTCAAATTTCCTTTCTTGCTCTGAAAATCACTATCATTCCTAAAATCTTGTACACACTGAACTGCCTACTGTAGCTGAGATGATTTACAAACCACACAAATAATAAAAATAGTTGCTTTGCTACACTTTCTTTTTCTCTCTTTCTTACCTGTTTGTTTGTTTGTTTGTTCGACAACCAAATACTTTTCCCAACAGCCAGCTGTTTTCTCCTTCCTTCAACTCGAGTGTTGGCGCACAGCCGCCAACCATTAAAGCAGTCCGTGGTCATGAAATACACCATCATGTTAAATTTAGGACTGCAAAGTCAGGATATTTTGCATGCATAATTAGTCCAAAAAATGCACTGCCCCAGGGTGCAGCACTGGTGGCCCACACCAAAAAGGCTTTAAAAAAGGAGCGGATACACACACATGAGCTTATCCAGGGCTCTCGGCAATCAGAACAAAACTCAGAATTTTTGTTTTCCAAGGACCTGTGAATGGGAGACACGATGACTCCAGAACAAACCACTTCACATTACAAGCCTCCTTGGAAGCATCCAGCCAGACTTTGGTCTGAGCAAGGCAGGCAAAATCTCTTTTAGACAGTCTTTTCCTCCTTAACAAATTTTCTTTTTCTGGCAAGCGAAAAGCCAGAGGAGGTTACACAATGAAGACACTGTTGTCCAGATGTCTAGTAAAATCCTGCCCGTCGGGTAGGAGAACGTGCAGGCAAACTAAAAACCCAATGATTTGACTTGTGCTTTAAAAGTAAATTGTTCTGATAGAGCATTTTTTGTGTTTCGCGGTGGTTTCACCGTGGTGTGGCGGGGAGGTTTGGTCTTATTCTGGCAGCATTGCTTGTACATGAAGGCTGCTGAGAGAGATTTCCTGTTTTAGATGGATTTTGTGCATTTGTCGACTTTCGTTTCAGCGGAGCGATCGCTTTAATTTGTGTATCGCCCCGAGAACTCTGGTTACTGGGCAACCGATGAAGCGAGGAGCCCAAGCAACCTGGGGAGTGAAGGCGGTGTCCGCACTGTGTGCGCTGCAGACGGGAGGCCGATGGGACCTGCCCGTGGCTCCGCGACATCCCTGGCCGAGGCCGACGTCCGGCTGGGCCTCGCACGAGGCCGCCTGGCAGCGCAGGGAAAAGCCCTCGCTCCTCCCGGGCCACCACAGTCTTCCTCTGCCCACACCGCTGCTCCCGTTCGGGGTTTCAGACCAGCAGGCATTCCTTGGGGGGATTCCCAGCTTGGGGTCAATGCAGGCCAAGAGCTGCCTCCCGCCTCACAGGTAGGAGAGAGACTCAGGACAGGGGGCACCACGCAAACCCTCTCCCAAAAGGTACGAAATTGGGACAGGGACAAGACCCAGGAGCTGAGCCCTAGCGAGCGAACTGGAAATTGCACAGTCACCTTAATTAAATCGGTGTGGGGAAACCTGGATCGACTGGAAGGGAAAGCTCCCCTGTGTCTTCTCTCAGGTGTGATCACCTCACGCAGGTAGACGAAGGCTCATCCTCCTGTGTGGCAGATAAAGGGCCAGCACATGGCCAGCAAGGCCAGTAGCCACTGGGAGCCCTCCTGCTTCATAAATTTGCCCATCCCCTTTTCAAACCATCCGAACTGGCGGCCATCCCCGCGCGGAGAATCCCATTGTTTGACTAAGTGCAAAGAAGTTTATTCCTTTTATCTGTCCTGAATCTCCCACCAATCAGCTTAGGTTCCAGTATCCTAGGGAAGAGAATCTCTCACTGAATCTACTCCGGCGGCAATTTTGGAAGCAGAGAGAGTGCATGGTGGCGCGCGCTTAGTTTCAAGGCAGAATCGCGAGCCTAGAAGGCTTTGGGTGGAAGTTGCCCAGCCCTGCCCTGCTCTGCCCTAGCCCAGCGTCTCGCTTCCCACAGGGGCTCGCCTGACGCCTTTTGGAACCAGACTTTGTGAAAAAAGCCACCGTAGCTACTCAGTAGAAGAGCTAAATGAAGGGAAGGCAGTTCTTATACTCCACTTTAAAAATGCAACCCACAATCATCCACAGCAGAACTAGGATGAAATTAAATGAACAATTGGTTTTGGATTTTGGAGACCAAGGGGAAAACGAAAAGCCATCCTTGTGGTCAGAATACTGGGAGAGAAAGAGAAATGCAGCAGAATCCGAATACATCTTATCTATTGACCTAGGATAAAGCCCTTCAATTACAATAAAGAGATGGAATAAAATTACCACGGTATTGCGGAAGTCAGGCATAGATTATGGAGAGCAGGGGAATGATGCATAATTCATACCAAAACCAAAAACATCAGGAAACTATAATTAGATTAAACTGTATTGAAGAAAGCGCCAAGATCAGCCATCTCCATCCATCTGGGGTGTTTGCTTGGGCCAAGACTGTTAACATATTTTTACAGGATACAACGAATAAGATGAAACAGGGAATCGCTTTGGGCATTGTCAGGGAAAATGCTGACTCTATTTTGCAGATGATATATTATTGGCAGATACAGAAAAGATACAGAAAGGAAACTGCAGAGCATGTTAAATGCATTATATTGAGTCCCATTCGCCCCCCCCCACACACACACACACCCCATAGCTACACCTCAAAGAGGGACGAAGGGAGCACAGGATGAAAGAGGCAGAACCCTTCAAATGCACCAAGAAGGAATACCGGAGGGTGTCTCGAACGGATTAGACAGGAATGTGCAGAGCATCAGCAAGAGGGGACCAAATGCTGAGAAGACAGGGTGGCGTGGTATAGTGGTTAGAGGGTCGCTCAGGAGCTTGAATCTCACACAGCCACGAAACTCACTGAGTGACCCTGGGTTAAATGGGGGATTAAAAGAGGAGGAGAATTATGCAAACCATCCTGGGTTCCCTGCAGGAAAAAAGGCAGGATAGAAATAGACTGAGTAAGTGAATGGGGCACCACTCCAAGAAGCAAACGAAGAAACATGGGAAGGAAGGCAATGCAAATATAATTATGCAAACAAAGGAAGGATCCCCACATGGGGGTGTGATGTTTGAGGAATCAAAACGGGTGCGGTTGCAGACCATGCTCACTTTTGCCAGATCAGCACTCATCTAACTGCTTAGATATTATCCATTCTCATTAACTAAATAGGTACTCCCAGTTAATTGCCAAGTCATCTGCATGTCTCATCCAGGCACAAAAAAACGAAGTGCGCGTCTTGCTTCAGAATTTTTTTCTTCTGCCTATTTATGAACGATTGAATCAACATGTCCCTCAGTTGATTCCCAGTCAGGGAATGCCGGTGGGTTATCTAATCCAAACTGTGTCAGTGAGAACCAAGACAGAGGTACTAGCAAGCTCAGGGAAATACGGCGGTTGGCAGAGGTCCCCCTGCCTCCCACAAAAACCCCTTTACAAATAAAAATTGAATTTTGAGGTTAAGGCTCTGCAATTTTTAAAAGGGTCTTTGTAATTAAGATCCCGAACTCCCTCCGCCGCACATGAGTCCCCAAAACAGCAAAATAAGGATTAAGTGCGGTGCTTTTTTTGTTAAAAAAAAAAAAAAAAAAAGGTGCCGGAGCTCACATCGCTGCCGGCAGGAAGCACTCAGCGCGCGACCACACACACCGATCCCAAGCCGAGCAGCGTCCCAAGCCGAGCAGCGCAGACACACAAGCAGCCCGCAGGCCTACGTTAATGATGCTTGCTGCTGACCTGCTACGCCGACAGGCGATTCAAAATCACTTCGTAAAATCCGTTGGGGAAAAAGGTGCCGGAGCGCCGTCCCAGTGGGTTCTCTGACAAAAAAAGCCCTGATTAAGTGTGTTCACTATGTACAAGAAATTGGAAAAGAAACAGGGGAAACTGAGGTGGGGGGGGTGGAGTGGAGTTTGCGGGAAGAAGGCAGGTCAGGGGGTCTAGAACTGGGGGGGGGGGGTCACTCTCCAAAATGTTACTCAAATCTGGATCTTAAGAAAAACGGTGTTGCGTAAACCTAAGGAAGGACGGGCGGGCAGGCAGGCGGAACATACCTACATTCCGACCAACTCTCTGTTCCTATTTCCTCGCAGGTCATCGAGCCCAGAGAAGTATTCCAGAAAACCAACCTGGCTTTCCCACATACACCCCACTGCCTGGGTAGCGGCGAGGTCATGATCAGCTGTTTGGGGGACCCGCTGGGCAACGGAAAAGGTATGGGCGGAAATTCTGCCCATGGGGGGAATCTCGTTTAAGAAGGCCCTACAAAAAAAGGAGGCCCGGGGAAGCAGGCCAGGGTCCACCGAGGCCCCCCGGGCCCCCTGCTCGCCGTTGTTGCGTCCAGGTGGTCTTGGGCCATAACGCTGCAAGGGGATCCCGCTGGGGATCCGCTTCCTGCACAACCCCAACAGGCTGCACCCGGCAAAGTTCCATCCAGCACTTCTTCAAGATGCAGGTGAAAAGGACGGAGGGCGGGCGCTGGGCCCTGCGGAGAGCAGCAGCGCCCACAGGCAGCTGAGCCGAGCCGAGCCAGGGCGGCCCAGGGTCTTTGTCTGAAGAAGTGACGTTTTTTAGGCAGGTGTTTGGCACTTCCAGAAGCTGGAACGCTTAAAGAATAGGAGCGCCACTGAAACGGGAGAACAGGGCAGCCAGGGGGGGGGGGGCGCTGAGGGTTGCAAAGTACAGAATAACTTTCAGAGGAAATAAAGCCTGCAGGAGGAGGGGGGCTTGTTCTGCATGGCCATGGTCTTGGGGGATGGAAAACTGACGGACAGGAGGGTACAAGGTCGCACTTCCAGGCTTCTCTTTCTCCTGCAGGATGGGACTTGGGCAGCGGAGAAAGTGATCCAAATTCCGAGCAAAAGAGTAACGGGATGGCACCTCCCTGAAATGCCAGGTTAGTAAAGGAGGGAGGGCTCTTAAGTGTTCCTTCGAATGCACCGCACAATTTCCCATATCCGTTGCAGCTGGATTTAGTACTGCTGTTCCTTGAGAGAAGCGTACCTGCCTTGGCACGTGCCACTGGGGTGGGGCAGGGAAGGGGATACGGAGCGCGAGTGAGTGAGCAGCTCCTGGCCGTGGATACCTGCTCATCATCATTTCGTCCCTGCTCCACCCACCAGCCAAGGCCCACCGAGGGCTTTACAACAGCTCATAAAACTGACAATCTAATAAAGCACCATACAAATTTCCAAAACGCAGCCATGAAAAAAGCAAATTAAAACAGCTCAAGCAACATTCAGTACGGAGGAGGTGGGGAAGGGCCTGCAGTGGATGCCGTGGAACCTCCTCCTAAACCCTTAAATCCCCTGGCGCAGAGAGAGATCGATTGCAACTCGGCACCCACCGGGAGCACATTCTGCAGTTGAAGACTTCCCGGGGCTGCCGCCCTCCGAGCCTCCCTTGGATGGCCCCAGAAACGGCCACAAACATTCCTTGTGGCAGGAACTTCTCATTCCCATTTTACAGCCCGCTGCAAATACTTGTAGCAAAGCAACGGGCAGGACAGCAAAACCGAGGCCCCATCCCTGACCGCCTCTTCCACCTCCTCACCCTGCAGCCTTCATCACGGGCGTTCTGATTTCAATGGACGACAGGTACCCGTACCTGAGCAACTGGCTTCATGGCGACCTGCGGCAGTACGACATCACGGACCCTCACAGCCCTGTACTGGTGGGCCAGGTGAGGCTGCCCAGCAGGCAAGCCTTCATGGAAGCCGGGGTCTCTGGGTGCAGCGGGGCTGCCCTCCAGGGCGGGTCTCCTCGGTTTGAGCAGGGCCTCCATCCTCAAGCCTGAACAAGACTGGCGGGAGTGCCGGGGTTTCTCCCCGGAACAAGTACAGCTGAGCCCCCGGGCTTGGGGTCACGACACAGAACATCGGAAGAGCCAGGTCACGGCTCTGTCCACCCCAGGCATGCCCACACTGGCAGGCAGCAGTACCTCTCCAGGGTTTTAGACACCAGCCTTTCTCAGATCTTTCTCTCCCTGTTCAGATTTAGGGACCTTCTACATGCCCTCTGCCACCGAGTTACTGTTTGGCTTAAAGCAAAGCAAGCCTCTAGTCCTCATGTTCTGATCTAGGGCACAATGCTATGCAAGCTTAGACTGAAAACGGCCTTTGATGCACCACTGCCTCTTACCAGCATAGGCACAGCCCAACCCATCTATCCAAACCTTTTTCACATGCTCTCAGTCAGCTGATATGCGGGCAATGCGACGTACTTCATAAGGCACTCCTAAAACAAGCCAGGTGAGCGACAATAGCCCCTGCAGTTGATACATTTTACAGATTCAAGACTCTAAGGTTAATTTTGAAAAAGATGTTATAGCTTCAGTCACAGTAAACATTAGCAAATTTAACAAATGTAATGTATCGACTGATCTTAAAAAATATATTTCAAACACCAGCTTCCGTTTCCCACTGTGAAACGATTCACAGCTTCCAGCTCACAAGGCGAATGCCGGCTCGGTCCAGTGCCTCCCTCTCTCCATCTGCCGATGCCTTGTCCCGGCCTTTCCCTTTCCCTCTGCGAGGCCACAGAAGACGACCTGTGCTCGGAAGGCATCTGTTTACCTTTGCTGCCGAATGCCCTGACTTTGGTTATTCGTCCACGATGAGTTGTTCTAGCATGTGCTGGATTCTCAGGCCTGGGGATATATTTTGCTTCCACCCCTTTATTTATTGCAAAACACGGAGCAGAGAGAGGCGGCAGCTGGGACACCTTCTCCAAGCCCAGCCTTGGGTCCTGGCAGATACAGCTGGACCACAGACCCCATCACTCCTGGCCACGGGGCGCACTGGTCAGGGACAGTGAGACTGCCGTCCAAATGTGTCTGTGGACGGATGGCCAGAAGAGGGCAGCTCCCCTCACGGAAGTCACTCTGGACGCCTCATGCCCGGCAGGGGCATGGCTGGAGCACCAGGAATCCGGCGTCGCTCACCGGCTCTTCTCGGGACTCTGTGCCTCCAGGTGTTTGTGGGAGGCAGCATCGTAAAAGGCGGGTGGGTTACCATCCTTGAGGATCAAGAACTGGACAGCCAGCCCGACCCCTTCGTGATCCAGGTAAGGGACAAGCACCTGACAGGGTGGCGGTGGGTGTCTGCCACTTGCTCAGCAGCCGCTGTGACACCGGGACCAGATTCGGGGTCCGCTCCAGACTGCCATATGGAGGCATGGCTACCCCCTACCGACGCTCTGCAGTCCGCACGGCTCTTGGCCCCTTCACTGACACCCTCCGTGGGGCTGTGGAAGGGCAGTTTTGCACAGCGCCCTGGCCCGGTTCCTCGTGCACACCTGCAGCAGGTTTTCTCCCACGCGCAGGAAGCCTCGGACGCAAGGCAGGCACACGACACACAGTCAGTGAATTCAGGGGACAGGCACAACGCGTGTGGGTCCGTGCGCAGGAGCCTGTTCATCGGGCCCTGGCGGAGTTCCCTCATTGGATGCATCCTGCGGTGGTCCGAGCAGGTTGTCCCCCACCCTAAATGGAGCCCAGGTTCTGGCAGGTGAGGCAGGGCCTGCCTACCCTGTCTAGCTTCCCTGCTGCAAGCCTGAGTAGAGGAGCCCTACCTGGGAGATGCAGGTAACCCCACCTGGACTTCCCATGTTTTTGAACCACTCAAAAAAAGACAACCTTTTCTCTGTCCTTAGGGAAAGAGGGTCTACGGGGGACCCCAGATGATTCCGCTCAGCTTGGATGGCAGGCGGCTATACGTGACCACCTCACTGTATACGCCCTGGGACAAGCAGTTTTACCCCCAGCTGGTCAGGTAAGGCGCTGTCCTGCAACAGGCCAGGTTTGGGCCATCAGGACTGGAAGCCTGGTCAGCCGTCTCCTCCGGGAATCCGCCTGGTCCCTTTTCAAAGCCCTCTGCGCTGGTGGCCTTCACAGCCGGTGGAATGAATTCTCCTCCATACGGCAGCCACCTTCGTTCGAGCTCCCCTGAATCTCCCGCAAGCCAGCGCCATGGGTCCTTCATAGCAATATGGCGGACAATCCTGCCCCCCCCCCCCCCCCCCCCGCCCCCCCACACCCCCCCCCCCCCCCCCCCCCGGGCCCCCCCCAAAAAAATGGGGGACAACCCCCCCCCCCCCCCCCCCGCGACACGGGCTTGCTCACAGACACGCTCCACGTCCATCTCGGGCGCGTTCTCTTTTGCAGGGAAGGCTCAGTCATGCTGCAGGTGGATGCGGACACCACGAAAGGGGGCCTGTCCGTGAACCCGGACTTCCTGGTGGATTTTGGGAAGGAGCCGTATGGTCCTGCTCGGGCTCACGAGATGCGCTACCCAGGGGGAGACTGCACCTCAGACATCTGGGTCTAGCGGCCCACTCCTGCCCCCTGCTGAGCTGACCCCACAGGAAGGGGAGAGACGCCCCCACGGTGCCCCTTTCCTGCTGCGCTGCTGGGCACGCTGCTTCGCTTTTGCACAGGCTTCGCTGAGTCACGACCGAAACGCATCCCTTCCTTCCCAGGCCGGCAGCATGTGCTCGCTGGAGTCAGCCAGCTCTGCTCGGCCAGGTGTCACCTGGTCTACTCACCTGTCGCTCGAGCCGAAAGTCCTTCTGGGGTTCGTAACTTGGTGTTCTCTGAATCTTTGCTCAACAGCCCCCACGGTTCCCAATGCCTTCCTCTGCTGACTGGGGCTGATGGGTCAGTCCAAAACAAATGGATGGAGAGGAGAGGAGAGGAAGCCCCAAGAACAACTTTGCTTTCGTAGAGCCACTACTCCTGAAATCCTGGGGGAGGAGGTGAACCGTGCCACCCTAGGGAGTAAGCCCCACAGCGTGCCCACGAGTGCGGGCAGACCGCCGGAAACCTGTCCCTGGGGCACGTCCAGGGTGCAAACACCTGTGCCAAGGAGAGGGCATGCGCCTGCTCGCCTTCCTCCCGCCTGCCATCAAAGCCCATTGCTAAAGCGCAGTCTGGCTTTTGCCAGGCAGCTGTTCGGTTCAAGTTTCCACAGCCCATCGCACGAGAAAAACATGCGAGCTGCAGGGTTCTGGGGGTCTCTTTAGCCAGCGGAGCGATGCATTAACGATGTCATGATAAAAAGGCTTCTTCACACAGCGGATTCTCTCTGCTTCCCTTTATTTCCAAGCCATAGGGTGGGTGTGCTTGGCCACGTTGTTGTTTTGGGCTGGATTATTATTATTATTATTATTATTATTATTATTATTATTATTATAACATTTCTATGCCGCCCCTTGCCAAAGCCTTGGGGCGGCTTACAACACAATAAAATACAATACAATACAAAAATAACAATATAAAATTAAAATGAATAACATAAAATAAATAAAAAATATAAACGATATAAAAGGATTGAGCTCTCTGGCCTCCAGTTTGGCAGTTCCGATTTAAGGGGAGGCGTAAGAGAGAAAACCTTCCCCCGCCGCATTATTTTCTTCACTTTATGGTTTAATGATTATTATTTAATTAACTCGGATGGCTTCCAGAACCCAAATTGTTAACCTTTGGAACTCACTGCCACAAGAGGCGACGGCATCCACCAACTGGACAGCTTTAAAAGACACTTAGGGCGATTTGTGGAGGAGGAGGAGGAGGAGGAGGCTATCGACGGTTGCAAGTCTTGCTGGCTGTATATTACCCCCACCACCGAGGTCTGTGCACCTCTGCATAAAATCTTCCCCGCAGAAAATGCACCGGAAGGTGTTTCCGCACAGGGGTCCTGCTGGCAGGGTCTGCATTAAGAGGTCTGGCTGGCGGCTGTGTGGATGGAAGTCTGGGCCCAGGAGGTCTCTGGGCTCATACGGTCCTGCCTAAATTCTTCCTAGCCCCTGCCGTGCATTTGTAAACCAACCCACGGAGCTGCCCCGGATGAATGGCCCTTTGCAGGCACATGATCGAAATCCCCATTCTCATGCCAGGCAGCCCGATCTGCTTCTGGAAAGGATCTTTCGCATGAGGGGTTGTCGGAGAATCCCCCATGAGAAGCTGGGAGCGTTTTTGGCTCAGTTCTCTGGGAAGCCCCCGGCTGGGGAAGGGAAAACCCATGTTTCCAAAGGAAAGAAATTCCTATTAGAATTGGGAAGCCAGTTTCACCCTTCCTAGCGCAGAGCAAGCACCCTGGAATCCCTCCAGGCATTTGGAGCAGGCAACAAACGAATCGACTGAATTCCTTAATTCTCATTGGTGAAAAAACGGGGGGGGGGTGTTCATAAGTCTCCCTTTCTAATAAGCCCAGATTACACATCTTTGATTAAAACCAGATCACCAGCTTTGCAGCAAGTGTGGTAAACTACTGCACGGCTTCCCCACGCCACATTTTTAGTCACGGTAGCATCCCGATCCTGCCCCGCACCCAACAAAAGGGTCCCTTACCTGAGGCAGGTGTCTTAGCTCCTCTGAGGGGGAGAAGAGAATTCGGTAGGTGCAGCCACAGGTAGGTCTCGTCGGGCCAGGCCCCCTGGAAAACACCAAGCAGAAAAGCGACATGTAACGTGGAGAGCACAGCACACGGCGTGACCCCAAACCTCAGTTCCCAACGCACACCTTATTATTGCGCAAAGGGCAACATCTCGGGAGCACACAGCAAAATCGTGCATTAAAAGAGGAGACGTCACTCCATGCATGCGTGGCTTAATAACGATTTTGCTCTGAGTAAACTTGCCCATGGCTCATTTCGCCGCTCCCACTGGCCCTGGCCAGCACCGACGATGGTTAGGGAGCAGAGGAGTTGTAGTTTACTCGGTCGACTCCCGCATAAACTGGACCTTTCTCTACTCCTGTGTGTCCTGCCGACACACAGCCTCCCAAGCGTTCAGCAGCCCGGAGTGCTCTGCTTTGATTGAAGCCGAGCAGAAGAAATCATGACCCTTCCACCAGGTCCCCCATATTCCCCAGAAGTGCGGCCGGGCCTCCAGAACCATCAACGCCCCCTGTGGTACAGCTGGACTTTCAGGACCCACCCGGTCCAGTTCGCCTTTTGTGGCGCTGCGTGTTGGAGCCCAGCTCCACCAGTTTCTGCCTCGTACGCCAGTTCTGGGGCTGGTTACTTGTCTTTTACCATGGCAGCCAGGGAACGAACGGGCAAGCAGCACCCACACGGCCCCCATTTTGAGAGAGCACCCACGACATGCTTTCCAAATTCCAAATGTGCCCGAAAAGGGATCTGCGGGAGAGTCCCTTCTCCGGGAACCCTCCATGAAAGAAATTAGGAGGGTAGGTACTCGGAGGAGGGCTTTCTCTGCGGTGGCACCCAATCTATGGAATGCGCTCCCCAGAGAGGTCCGCCTGGC